TCTTCTACAGAGTCAATCATTGTATGCTTGGCTTTTATAACTGTACAAGGTATTATAGTCTGCTTTGTGCATTTAGTTTGACTGTTATTATCCTGGTTTTTTATATAAATAAACTTATTCACCTGTCTATTTGTTCATTTTTTTTATTAATTATAATAGTTGTATCTTTTAATAAAGTAGTAGTTGCTTTAATGTTGGTTATAAAAGACAAAGAACTTAAAAAGAAGACTGTAAAAAGAGAAAGTCAAGAATAAAGACTGGTTGGAAGTCAAGGTTGAATTTTTTTGATAAAAATTTTTTAGTTGCTAAATAAGCAGTATCATTAAAATATTTAACAATTTGTAGATAAGTTGGTTTTTAGTTTTTTATAACATCAAAGTATATAATAATTTAAGTAAAAAATTTGGTATTGATAATATTTTTTGTTAAAAGATTGATAGTTTCTTTCTTGAACAGAAACTGTATATTATGATTTTTAGTAGCAGTTTGGTAGTAAAGAGAAAAATAAAAATAGAAGTAATAATTACAATATTTAAAATTAATTTTAACTTTGTTTTGTTTACAAAAAAAGTTTTTAGCTTGATCAGCTAGTTTGTCTAGAGCTTTGGTAGAGATAGATTGATTAAGTAAGGCAGCATGTTCTTTGTTTTTATGAAATAGTATGATATTAAAAGTTGGGTAAATCTATGTTTCATTATTCTGAGATAAAAATAATAAGCAAAATTTGGTTAGAATGTCATTAAAAAGTTTGGTGCTATTATAGAATTTTTTATCATCAAGATATTGCCATTTTTCATTGTTACAAGTAAGACAATAAAAGTTAGCAACATAAAATACTTTTTTATATCACTCATAGAATAAGTTAGGTTTTTTAAAGATATAGGTTTCAAAAAGATGTTTGGAGAGTTAAAGGATAAAATGTTGGTAAAATTGAATTTTAAGAGAGGTGCAAACTTTTTCTTTATCAATATTGGAAGAAAATTGTTTATTATAAAAAGAATAATAAGTTTCAAACCAGAAATTGAAGTGGTCAAGAAAGTTTTTTAGTAAAGGAATACAAAATTATTTAAGAAAAAAAGTTTTAGGAATATTGAAGAAGAGTTTAATATTAAATCTGACATCAGATTGAATTGTAAGATATTTTTGTTTAGATCTATAATTTGAATAAATGATTTAATTTTGAATCTTTTGGGTCTGAGCTATAAGTCTTTATTAAATTTTTGGTAATCAATTAATTAGTAGTTGTTGAATAAGAAAAGATATAAGCATGTAAGATTAAGACAGAGTTGAAAATAATTATAAGCTATATACAGAAGAATAATAATTAATAAAACAAAAATTTTAAGATAATTAAGTTTAGTAAAAAGAATAGTTATAAATTTGAGAATAAGGTTTTTTAAAGTAGATTTAAGAAGATTGAAAAAGATAGTAGCACTCTTGTTAATATTGGGGTTGCTATTGTAAATAAGATTAGTTAAGAATTCAGAATGTTGTTCAACCATGATATAAATAATATAATAAAATGATGCTTTGAGTACTGGTTGTATAGCAGTAGCTAGCTTAATTTTCTTATTAAAATAAAAATTATAAAGAAATTTTTTAAGAAAGATGAAAAGTTAAAGAGAAAATGAGATTTGCAGTTTTTTATTAAATTGTATTTCTTTAGTGATAGAAAAATTAACAATTCAGTTATATGTAGGATTAGATTTTGGTTTGAGAACACTAGAGTATGATTGAGAAGAAGATTTATTAAGAATATTTTTAGATTAGTTAGTATTACTGATCTTATTGAGATTTAAATTAGAAATGTCAAGAATATTAATAGTAGAGGATTAGTTAGAGATAAGATTAGTATTAGTAGTTATAAAAAAGAAAGAATTGATAAAATTAAAAGAAGTTGAGACTTGATAAGAAGAAGTAGTAAGAGAATTGATAGTTTAAGAGAATTTGTATAAAATGTTTTGAAAGATTTGAATAAGATTTTTCTTAGTTTTAAATGAACTAGCTTTATGTTAAGATAAGACAGTCATACAAGTAAGATAATAGATTTCATTATTTTTAGAAATATATTTTTCAGTAGAATAATGGTACTCATTTCTTTTGGTACAACCAATTGAAAAAAAAATTTAGTACAAGTATGATAATATAGATCAGATATAGGAGATAGAAGAACATTATTATTAGAAGATAAGTAGTTAATTATAAGTCCTTGAATTATTTTGTTAATTTTTTTGGAATTACTATTGATATAAGTAGTTATAAATTCAGTAATTTGAATATAATTAGTATTTGATACAGAGACAAGTAATTATAAAAATAAAGATAGAAGTTTTAAAGAAATAAGTAATCTTATTTGATTTAAGATTTTTTATTAAGTGAATAGTAGATTAAATTTTGAGAAGAATTGGATGAGTCTTGTTGTTGTCTTCTTTATAGAAAGCAATTCCAAAAATATTGAAAAAGTTTTGGTAGAAATAATCAAGATCTGCTATATTCAGTTCTTATTAACTTAAGATAGATATTGTTAAAAGATAACAAGCTAAGAAAAATTTTAGACTTAGATATATTTTCTAACTAGAGAATATAATTATAAATAATTAAATTTATAAGGGTTATGAATAAATATAAGGGTTATAATTTAAGAGTGTTACTAAAATAACACAAAAATATAACAAAGATGGATAAAATTACTAATATAACTTGAATACTAAATACAAATAGAATTTGCAATACAAATTATTATATAATATTAATAAGAGCTAAATATAGAAGTAATTAATTGTATGAATAGGTTTTTATTAATAGGTTGGTTACAAAATATTGGTGTAAATTAATAAGATATGAATTGAGAAATAATTATATAGTTACACAAAAATCATGTAAAGGAAAAAAGGAACAGAGTAACGACAAAAGATAAAAAAGAAGTTTTGTAAGAAAGTAAATATTAAATTTAATTGTAGTTTAGTTAATATAGAATTAAAATTTTTATTTAGAACTTGATTTGACTAGATAAATGTATACTACAACTTTACTTAAGAGTATAGAACAGGTTAAGACAGTAAAAACTATAGAATAGTTAGAAGTTATTAATTAGAAGCCAAAGCTCATTAGTACAGTTTTTTAATAAGTTTAAAGTATAAAAGCTTGATATTTGCAAATTATATGTAAAATAATGAGCTTAACAAGTTTACTTAGACACACAAGACAGATTGTCTTAGTAAAATAAATAGTTATAAGCATTTTTTGATAAATAAATTTTTTAGTTAATTTTTATGCAATAGATTTGTAAAAAGAGTTTTCTCAAAAATGTTATATTTTAAACTTTGTATTAATTAAATAATTGATTATTATTTTTTTATTATAGATTTAATAAATTAAATTCTCTTGTTTGTCTGTTTGTATTGTTACTTTATTAGTTAGTTTGTATTTTTTTAATACTTCTTAGAAAAGATTTTTATAATTTTTTTAATATACAGAATTGATTTTTTACTTTAGTAAAGATAAAAAAAAAATGACATTTTTATGTTTAAATTTGGCCTTGATTATTAGATGTAATGTATAATTTGTTAACTTAGTTTGCATCTTGTATTTAATAAAATCTTAAATATCTGTTACTTTTTAGTACTATTACTATTTTATTATAATTTTCAAGTTTTTGTCAAATGCTTTATTTACTTTTTCTTCTAATTTCTTGTTAATTTCTTATATTTATTTTTCTGTAAAATTATTTTGTTTTGTGTTTTGTATATGCTAGGTTTTTTTAAGCTATCTAGTTATATGTTACCTGCTTGTTCTGCTATTATATTGCTGTCTTATTGTTATACTGTATGTTAGTTTTTATTTTTATTTGTTACTATTTATTACTATTGCTGTACTTTGGTTTTTAGTGAGTTCTGTTTTATTGTTATGATACTTTGCATTTTCATATAAGTTTACTGTATTATTTTTAATTAATATTGTATATATACTATTACTTGCTTATATAATTATACTATAATTACTGTTGTTGTTTGTAATATGTTAATTATTGTTGTTATTTTTTATTTTTATTCTATTGTTGTCAAAATCCGTTTGAACTGGTTTTTTTTCATTGTTGTTAGTTAGTAATAATATCATCTTTGTTTTTATCAGAAATATGCTAGTTTTATTACTTTTTGTTTTTTTGTATAATAAAGCTAAGTCAATATAAGGTTTTTTTGTCTTTGTAATAAAATGTATTATGTCTATTCTAGTTTCTTTTGTGTTTGTATTTCTGTTATTATTGTTAGCTTTGCTTCTGATATTATATCTTTTCATTTTAAGCTTTTATATTGTTTCAAATATAAAGTTGCAAGTTAATCCAAAAACCTTCTGCTTCAATGTTTTGTTTGTTGTAAATGTTGTTTCTCTTTTGCACTTTATTTTATTCTGTATTAATATGTGATGTGCTATTCTTATTGAGTTTGTAACTGTTTTATGACCTGTTTAATTATTTTATTTGTTTAAAATTTCAATTATTATTTTTTGCTTATAATTTTAAGATTTTCAGAAGAGTTTTTTTTTAAAAATTTACTTTTCTTTTTAAAAAGATATATAATTCTTAATTAATTCTTATTAAAAATTAAAAAAAAACTTAAAAAAAGTTTTTTTGTTATTCTATTATAATAACAGGTTACCAAAAACAAAAATTCAAAAATACAAGATATGAATATCTAAACTTACTTTGAAACATTAATAAAAAATGTCTAAAAGTCAATTTTACTATAAAACCAACTCTTATCCTCTAACTTTAATAAAAAATCAAAAACATACAATCATATATGATATCATTGGTGTGTTTTTATTTGGTGCACAACCACCTTTCAAAGCCTCGGTGGGTCCCTAGACTACATGCTTAGAGAATAACTTTTGCAAAAAAATTTTAAATATTTTTTTGTTTTTTTTTAGATATCAACAAACGCTTTTTTTTAAATAGAAATCGATTTTAGAAAACATTTTAATCCCTGACTGTTTTACGGTACATGTGTTGAAATTTTTTTGTGTGCTTTTACTAATAAGCTTAAAGTTTTTTTTGATTTTTTTTCGTTTTCTATAATAGTAGTGTACGGGTAGATCTACAAAAATTGACCAATCATATGAATGTCTTCCTATAAAAGTATGTACGTATAAAAGGGAACAAAGAGAAATTGCAAACTAAATCCAAATTATCATGCCAAGACATTTTCCCTGACTACGATAACCATCGTGTTTTCCTTCTTCCTTTCCCAAGTTTCACTCAATTCATAGGAAAGAAGCGAGACCTTGGAGTTTACTTTTCAGGCAGTCTGGTATGAGTTCTCTTCGAACATGTTTTTTTATTGCTACAAATATAAAGTATGCCTTGCATTTGTAAACTGCTTTTGAATTTTATGTTCCGATTCAAACTTTCACAATTTAGTTTGCCCTAGGCTGGTGGTTTTTCATCGATGCTGTGGTTCTTTCCAACACTATAGATAATGATACTCAACCGGCAATAGGTTTCGAAGATTGGATGTGCGGGATTTCCAGTACTCTAGGAATGCTAATGTGGGTAAACGAAAAAATTTGGGATATTAGATATTAAATTGTAATCCTGTTTTGCACCAATTAAGATACCTCCTTATATGTGTACAAAATTTAAAATATTACAAATTTATCGGTTTCTATGCTATACAGCGTTAACTCGATTGATAAAAGTCGTCTCACAGCCGACAATTTGTCATACACTGGATGTGGTATTGTAACGAAAGCCCGCTTTTTTTTATTTGTAGGCTTTGCTCTGATGGCAGGAGGCTTGGCGAGATCTGTGGTATGTATGTGGATTTAAACTGGTAAAGTTATGAAATCGGTCATTACGCTGAAACTAACGTTATTTACGTGACAGACCATATTAATTCTCAAGCATATTGTGCCTGAAGCTGGACTACCTTACATTTATTTTGGAATTGAGGAGGTTATTCAAAATGTTGCCATCGTGCTCAGGTATTCATTTATTATAGCTATGGAACATTACTATTTGATGCCTTTATCTAATTACTTTTCTATTATTAATCTAGTTCTGTGGTGCTTTGGATTTCACAAAACGCAGAGTCCGACAATATCGATAATTATCTAATATAGAAGTTGGCTATGTTTCAAATATTTATAAATGTATTATATTATTTTGTTCAAAATATCAGAAAGGAGTTTACAAATTTTTTTGCAATATATGATTTTTTTATTGATGTAATTTATTTTCAATTATAAGTTTATTATTAAATAACTGCTTTATCATATCGGCATAATTTCTATATTAGGATTTGGGGCAAAATTTCTATGATATTAACTATATGCTGGAATCTGTGCGAAGTTCAATGTTGAGTAATTTCTTTTTATTAAGTTAACAACTTAAGTCGATTAATTGAAAGTTTTAGAGCTCACTGAGATGCATCTAATGGTGGTTAGATCATCAAAATCGGTCCAGTGAATGCCAAGTTATCACTAACAAACGCTTGACCGATTATATAAAATTTCTTTGTTTACATAGAATTTTATATAGTCGGGTAAGTTTTTTTAGTGATATCTAATTATCCACTGGATTGATTTGGATGATCTAATCATCATTAGATGCGTTTCAGTGAGTTTTACAACTTTCAATTAATTGACTTGAGTTGTTAATTTAGTAAAAAAATTATTTATTATTGAACTTTGTTCAGATTTCAGTATATAATAGAAGTTTATATTATATTTATTTTTATTGTTTCAATATAGAAATTTTGTTAAATTATTAATTAAATTAAAATTTTTTTTTGGTGTTAAGGTGATTTTTTTGGTCTTTTGATTTTTATTAATGATTTTTTTAGTAATATGATTTTATGAACCATTATAGAAAGATTGTATAATTAATTATACAGATAGAACAAATAAATAAAAAGTGAATAATAGATAAATAATAGGAAAAATATGTCATTATTTTACCTTATATCTGTTAAATAATGACAGCATAATAGCAGAATAACAGTAAAATAACAGAAAATTTATTGATATAAATAACATAATAATATTATAATAGTAAAATAATAGAACAATTTATTATTTTTTTTATTTTTTTATTTTTTGCTTTCGCTAAGGCTGTAGTTATCAGCAGCTATTACTTTTATTGTATTTTAATTATAATTATATAACAACTAGCCAAATGTATAACTTTTGGTTGTTTAATTTAAGTAGTTCACCTGCTTAGCAGGTTCTACATTAGTTGCCATACCTGCAATCTACTAGGAGATTATCTATTTAAACACTCTGATCCCTATACTTATACTGACAAATAGTACACAAGTTCTTATACACTTAAGTACCGTCTAACTTAACTGTAACCTTTTGGTCTATACATCCATCAAGCCATTACATATTTCAGAATACATCACCTAACTTGTAGGGCTTTAGAAGGCTCTTCTGCTAACTAATTATCCACATTTAGTATCTTGTTAATAGGGCTTGCTCTTGCAGAGTTTACTCAGACCCCAGCACTGACTTTACAGCATATCCCTAATACTTTAGTATACCTCTGTTTCTGACCTCAGACTCACAATCCAGATAGCTTGGTAGGACTATGACCTGTTCCTAATACCTCAGAGTCTGCCCTCCAAGGTTTTTTTTCTTCAGTTCGAGACTTCCGGTGGTCTGGTTGGTGGTACCTCTCATCTGAGGTTTTTGTTCACACAATTCCTTTCACATTGGTATCTGTTTTCTAGGTCTAGCCTTTACAGTAATACTGCTAAAGATCCATGTTACTTCTCTACTCAGGTCTTTCTAAGTAGGTTCCAGTTTTTTTAGTTTATGGATTTATATAGCTACAAGGACTTATCTTGGATTTGCATCACCTGATGCTGGTTAGCATTTCTCTATATAACTCCAACATTGCACAAATGCCCTATAACCTGCTGATTATCTGGTGTGACTGTGTTACAGGTACTGATCCCAACTGATTGACAGATTGTCATTGCTGTAATACCAGTTTCAAGGACTTTGCATCACTCAATGTCAGTTTGCATTCCTCTGTATAACTCTAACATTGTATATACTGATATAACATAGGTAGTTTTCCAAATTTTTGCTGTCAGTGGGTTTTGAACTCCCAACCTACCACTTGGAGGGTTGACAACTTATCCACTTCACTAAGTCACCATATCTCTAACAATTTATTATTTTATTTTTAGTTTTTGTAATTAAAAATAAAATAATAAAACTGTTCTATTATTTTATAATAATAATATTATGTTATTCATATTAATAAACCTTTTGTTATTTTACTATTATTTTGTTATTATACTGTTGTTATGTTGTTATTATTTGACAGATATAGAGTAGAATAATGGTAGATTTTTTTTTTATTATTTATCTATTGTTTATTCTTTATTTATTTGTTTGACTTGTATTATATAACTTTTTTATATTACCTATTTAAGAAGTTTGTTAAAAAGTTTTTTATTAATTGTTATACTTAATATCTCTGCTTAAATATTTTATTTTAAACCTTCTAAACCTGTATTTGTGTTAATATTACGAAATTATACTTAGATTATCATTTCAATTTTAGAATTATTTTATTCTTAAGATAAACCTTTTAAAGTCTTTTGTACCTATTTTTACAATTAATCTGGTATTGTTATAGCAGAATTAATACTTACAATCAGAATTAGTCATTAAACTACTGTGTTCTTATAAAGTTTACTCAAAGCTTAATATCTATTTTATAGTATATTTGAATTACTTTAGTATATTCTTATTTGTTCTTCAAACTTTCAATTTAAATAATCTAATAGAACTATAAACAATTTATTACTATATCAGATCAGTCTGATATCTTTTTTTTTTAATTTATTTCAGTAATCTGATTGGTGGTACCTTCTATTTAGAGTTCTTACCTGTCTAGATACTTTAATATTAGTATTTATTTTTTAAGTTTAGTCTTTACAATAGTGTTGTTAAAGATTCATGCAATCTTTTTATTTAAGTCTTTTCAAATAAATTTCTTGTTTTCTAATTTCAATAAATTTATACAACAACAAAAACTTATTTAAAGTTTATACTGCCTAATATTAATTTGGTTTTTTTTTTTAAAATATTAAGATGAATACTTGCGATCCAGGATTTTATTGATAGTATATTCAGTTAATGGTTGCTTTACAACTACAGGGGGCAACCATGGAAAGAGTATACAACTAGCCACTTATACAACTTTAGTTATTATCTAATTTAAGTAGTCTGCCTGAAGGTTCTACACTAGTTGCCATACCTGGAACCTGCTTGTAGGTTCTCTATTTAACCACTCTGTTCCTGTATCCACCCACCTACCTACACCTAC